TTATTATTATTATTATTATTTTCACAGAAGCCTTTTTTCCTTTCAGATTCTTTAAGGGGATCCCCGGTGTGAAGCAGATGTTTACCTTGGAAGACCAGGTGGCTCTTATAAAGGGCGGAATGTACGAATACCTCATGCTGGGCGGGTTCAAAGGTTGTGATTGGAAGCGTCGTGTGCAGGTGGATTCAGAGGTATGTTCGGCTGTGCCAGATTATAACACTGACAGTGATGATGACTTTGTCAACGACAATGACAATAACAATGACACTGACTTTGACAACGACAATGGCATTGGCAGTGACAGTAACAATGACAAGGAGAATGACTGTGACAATGATAATGTATCACAATGACACTGACTTTGACACTGACAAATAGTAGTGGCGCTAACAGTAAAAGTGGCAAAAATAGTTTCTGTAACAATGACAATGAAAATGACATTGGCGCTGACTTTGACAATGACAATGGCTGTGGCTGTGACAGTGACAAGACAAGGATAACGACTATGACAGTGATAATAGCAATGACAATGACACTGACTTTGGCAGTGGCAGTGACAGTGACAGTGACAGTGACAGTGACAGTGACAGTGACAAGAATAATGACTGGCAATGATAGTATATATATATATATAACAATGTCAATAGTAGTGGCACTGACCGTAACAGTGTTCAGTTTTAAAACAGTGGCTACCACACTGACAATGAAAATAACAATGACACTGACTTTGACAATGACAATAACAATGGCAGTGAGAGTTACAATGACACAGATAATGGCTGTAACAAATACAATGACAATGTCTCACACTACTTTTGTAAGTAAAATTTTTCATCATCAAAAAGATGCGTCATGAACGCATACTCGTCGCTTCGGCAACGTGTTGGCGCCCTCTCTGTCTGAACACATATGTGAGGCATCGTGGTGGAATCAGGCTCTCGTCAAAATAATCAAAGTGAAGAAACTTGCATTTTTCCACAGGTTTGTTAATTTTTATCAAATTTTTGTTTTTTGGCTCAACACCTTTCATGCCCATTAAAGAACTCATTTCTGTGTGGATTTTTCTGAAAAATGTTGATTAAAGGCACAAACAATTTAAATTTTCAGTTACCACGGACTCTTAAGATAAGGTAATAACTAATCTTTGGCTGTCATTTTCTCACTAATTTTACCTCTGAAAACAGGTGACCCCCCACCTCCTTCATTCGCAAAATATCTCGACTTGTGTTCAAGATAAATGGATATTTTTTTCATCCAAATAAAGACAATTGAACAAGCTATAAGTTGATACCAATAACTCTACATGCCCAAAAATTGACGAGAGCCTGATTCCTCCACGCTGCCTCACATATTCGCAACACAAAACTCGCTGGTGCTCAGCATGGTCAGGACAAAAGAGGATAGAGCAGTGTATAGAGCACGGAACTTTGGTGAATTTGTCACCGGAGTTCCGTTGACGGTTATTAAAAGAAAAAAGTAATCCTGTTACCATTCTTGTTGCTGATGTTGTTGTCGTTGCTGTTATTGTTCTTATTTTTGTCAGTATTGTTGTTGTCTTGATGTAATAATAATCAATGCATCTCAACTCCCTCTATGACATGAATAACTGGGACTTTTGATATCGGAATATAACTTCGAATAACAGCTAGCTCTTTATTTCAGCTTCCTTTTCAATCATTTTTTCCTCCTTAGTTCCATTGTGCTATTTTATTGTTGTTGTTGGTAATGGTGTGGTTGGTGGTGGTCAGGGAGGTGGTGTTGTTGGTAGTGGTGGTTGTGGTTGTTGTGGTCGGGGTGGTGGTGGTGGTGGTGGTAGTTGTGGTTGTTTTTGTCGGGGTGGTGGTGGTTGTTGTGGTTGTTGTGGTTGGGATGGTGGTGGTGGTGGTGGTGGTTGTGGTGCTACTACTGTTGTTGGGACTGTGTGTCCCTCTCAGCCTGAGTTGGCCCTGACAGGCAGGGTTGCAGCCCTTCTCACATGATGTGTCAATGGAGCATAAAACACCCACATTTTTTTCCGAACAGCTGAACCACGTGCAGTGCGAACATGACATGGGGAAATTATTCCCGGACTACCACGTAGACTCAAACTTCGACGTCAGCAAGAAGTTGCAGAAACTTGACCTCAAGTTTATCGAAATTATCTTGCTCAAGGTGGGTAGTAGGAATCAAGATAGAAAAAGTACCTGTCTGTCTGTCTGTCTTTTCTCCCTTGCCAATCCCTTGGAAATGACGACATCTGATTTGTATAACGCTGTGCCTCAAAACATTGTTTTTATAACCTGACTTAATATTTAGCGTACATGTCCTTTTAATATAACTGATGTGAAAAGAAAAGCATTAAGACTCAAACGACATTTTTCAAAGCTAACAAAAAGGGATACCCTTTGTTGATCACCAGTATAATAATATATATTTTTGGTCGTTAGTTCATGTACATGATGTATCTCTGTTTGTCTGCTAAGAGGCTCTATTCAACTCATTCCGTGTTGGTGGTTCTGACAGGCAGAGTCACCCCCTCCCCCTCCCCCCAAAGGACAGTGGTACTGACTGGAGTGTTCTTTGGCCATTCCCAAAGGGGGGATATTAACATGTTCTTATGCACAGTAGAATTGTAAATGTGTTGATTTATTAATGCCATACTCGTAATGTGCCTAAACAAACGTAGGGGGAATGCTGCTTTATCTTTCCTCTTCCTTACTATAGTCATTTTTCTTCTACTTCTTTTGTATGTTTGTCACTCTCTTATGAACTGCTATTTCCAGGGTGTCTTAATAGTCGAACCAGACGTTGTGCTGATGAGGCTAGAGATGTGAGCAGAGTAAGCCTGATTCCCCATTTGGACTTCTCTGTTGACATCCACCCCTTGGCGTTCATGACCTTATGCGAGCGCCGTTCTACAAACATATCAGGCAGGATCAAAGCAGCTCACCTCTTACTCGACCCATATTTTGTATGGCCTGGCAATCCCTTAGTCTTAGATAACCGTTGTGGCACCAAGGATGATCGGGCAACCATTTTTACCAATCATTCTCTATTCTTTAGCCTTTCGAAGGGTTCTCTTTTTCTGTCTGTCTTTCCTTCTCCCTCCTTGTACAGTGTTTGCAAGTTCTGTTAATCGTGGTGTGTGACAATACCATCTCAGTTTGCGTTTTTTCACAGTTGTGAGAAGATCTTCTGCATAGGGCCCAATGGCAAGCCTGATTCTGTTCCTCATTTGTAACATGCCCAACAACAATGTTATATATGGGAGCGTAAAACATTTACTATCATCACAATCATTACAATCATCACAATCATTACAATCATTTTCCAGGCTATGGTCATCTCCTCCCCTGACCGCGAGTTTGTCAAGGACCACGTGGCAGTGGGTCAGTTTCACTGGAAGCTGGTCAACTGCCTGCTGCTGGTGCTGCACCGCAACGGCCGGACCAGTAAGTTCCCGGACATCGTGGACGCCCTGGTAGAGCTGCAGGAGTTTGGTCACTGCTGCTGGAAGTGGTGTCTTCTCGTGCCAGATTTGATCAGCTGTGTTCGGTTTGACCATCGGCCGCTGTTGACAGAGACTTTCTTTAACCGTGGTAAGTGAAGATTATGTTTCATGTTTTTTTTTTTTTTAGGTGTGTGTTAGTGCGTGAGTTCCGTATTTTAATGTTCCATGACTTGAAAAGAAGCAGAGGTAGCCCAAAAATAACATATTTACAGAGCTTGAACAGATGGGTGAAGGAGATGGATGAATGGAGGGAGACATACACTTTTTTAAACTATGTTTTTTTTAAACAATGGTAAGTAAAGACATTACTTATTATTATTTCGATTTTCCTTAGTGTGACCACAAGAGTTTTGGCACTGCTGTTGGAGTTACTGTCTTTGGGAACCGGTCGCAATTGACAGTGAAGTTAACAAACAAATAAATAAAACAGAAAAAGATCAAGAAACTCTTGCAGGTTATCTCTCTAGAAACTGGCCGAACTCGCAGAGACGTGTGTGAAAAATAAATAGATTATCAAGCCGCCACGGAGTGGATGCTGTGCGCAATGTGTAGCGTGTGGGCCTACTTTTGACCTCCTATAGCTAGCGGTATGTTGGGGTTCATTTACATTACGTCAATGGTAGTTTAATAAGGGCCGTGTTACTCACACAGTTGGCCGATGGCGGTGTTAAGGCGCGAATACTCTGTATTGGCGGTCCTTTTCGTACATTGGCAAAAACCTAGCGGAAAGCGGGGCTGACGGTATTACGGGAGTTGAACAACGAGGTTTGATTGTATCAGTAGCTAATTTGACAGGCAATTACTTATGTGTGTTTGTGTGCGTATGTGTGTGTGTGGGAGGGAGGGGGGGTGGTGGTCATGAAGTCTATACCTTAATTTGCAAGAATGTCAGTAAATGAAACACCTTTTGTCATCGCAAGACAGTTGTATTTTTTTTAGTCTCCTACTGCAGTCATTTATTCAATTTAGTATGTTTTATTTATACTACTTTAAACTGCAGTTCTACGGCTGTTTTTGATTAGGACTATTGTGAACTGGTATAAGACTAAAACTAAAAGATTCTAACTGCAACATCACACTTCATTGAGTTGACCTTGAAATTATAAACATGTATAGGACAATCACGAGTACAAACAGCCACTTCCCATTTTATCCCCAGTGTGTGTGTGTGTGTGTGTGTGTGTGTGTGTGTGTGTGTGTGTGTGTGTGTGTGTGTTTTACATTTGAATGACATTGTGTAAGACGACATCTGTCTAAGGCGCCACCCCCCCCTCGACAATGGGTGGTCGTTTTACACAGGTTCTACTGTAGCACGACAACGAAATAGGTCACTATGTTCTAGTGGTAGGCTAATCTACTGTAGCCTTCCTTCTGGGACCTGCTTGACCGACTACACACAATCGGGGGCTCCGATCCTAGACCCCATTATTGTTGTAAGCCGCACCGAGCATGCTGCAGAATGTGGATATGCGCAGTATAAATGCGCATTTTTCTTGTTGTTGTTGTTGTTGTTGTTGTGGTTGTTGTTATTGTTATTCTTGTTCCTCTTGTTGTTTTTTGTTTGTTGTTGTTTTTGTTTTTGTTATTGTTATTTTGTTGTTGTAGTTTGTTGTTATTGTTGTTGTTGTTTTATCTGCCCGATACCTAGTTTTGAGAACTTTGGTGTCCAAATTTTAAGTTAAAAAATATTATGTCAAGCTTTATTTAATGCAATTCTTTGAATATCTACACAACGACACTGAATATCCTTACGCTTTTGACAGAACAGACGGAGCATTTGCTGTCTGACCTCTTGGTTTTAGTAACTCAAAACGACCTAGAACGTCTGACAGAACATAGCAATTCTGATCGAGTTAGCGAATGGGTGGAGGTCAAATGACATCAATGATAACATTTATTTGTGCGTCAGGACGTTGAACTATATCTGCGTTAGGTGCATCGATAGTTACTGTTCTGACGTTGGTGGGACTGGATCGAACCCTAAATGGAGCGTTCTCTAGCGTGGTTTGTGTGGCCGGCGAGTTTTCTAGATTTCCCACCTGTCTTATCGGAGATGGGCCCTTACGTTGTGTACTGTGGCGATAACTTAGCTCACTTCATACCGTACAACTTACTATTATTTCAAATAGCTGTGTCTTTTTCCGGGCCCCAAGTCTAAATAATCATCAACAGTTAGCAATGGGAGACTCTCGTGGTCCAGAAGTTACGGTGTTCGCCTCTCCTTCAATAGGTCCCTGGTTCGAAACCTGACTTTCCCCTTTCGCCTCCTTCCCTGCTGCCTATCCATGTTCTGTCGTCTGGTATCGTCATCACTTTCTGCCCCTCCCCCGCCCCCTCGTCTGGGCTCTGACTCTTTCTGCAGCATTTCTACGATTACTCATTGGCTCCTTCTTACTGCTGTCTTTCAGCCACATCTCGACCTTAGGATGGGTAATATCTAACACCTAGGCTTCTCGGGTAAGGGCTAACAATATTGGAGGTCCCATGTGCAAGTTGCGCACGTTAAGATCCCTTGGTGTTCTTAAAATCGATAAGAATAGGCTTTCGCCGCCACCCGGGCAACATTCACAATTCCTACCAATTTGAAACTGTCTAATGTGTCTAGCGTGCTCACATGGCCTTATGCAGTTGTGAGCGCCGTAAAACACTAACAAAATGATAATAATAATAATATAATAAATACAACTTTACACTAACTCAAGTATCTGTGTCTTTTTCCAGGCCCCAAGTCTAAATAGTCGTCAACAGTGTTGGCTGTATTACATTTCTGGATGATATGAAGGTAAACCTCACTCTTATTTCGAGTTTTAAAAAAGCCCAATAAAAGAGGGATTACAGTTGCTTCGCTTAGCGACCGTCGGGAGATGTGTAACTTGTCTGCAGTAGTGAGATCCCCATTGCATTGGCTGATGGCTTGGCTGATTGGAGACACATTGGATCAGAAAATTAGAATGTTGCATGATCTCATTAGATCAGCACGTCTCGTTTCTCTTCTATTTACCTTACTTTTTTCACTTTCTCCTCCTCGTCCATGTTCTTCTTGTTCTTCCTGTTCTTGTCGTTTTTCTTTTTCTTCTTGTAAATCATCATCATCATCATCATCATCATCATCATCATCATCATCATCATCATCATCATCATCACCATCATCATCATCACCATCATCATCATCATCATCATCATCATCATCATCATCATCATCATCGTTTAAAAAGCGGAGTAGTAGGGAGAGTCATCCTTATCATCATCATTGTTACATACCAGTCTCAGAATTATTACTGTCATTCTTCTTCTTCTTCTTCTTCTTCTTCTTTTTCTTCTTCTTCTTCTTCTTCTTCTTCTTCTTCTTCTTCTTCTTCTTCTTCTTCTTCTTCTTCTTCTTCT